AACGGTATCATTTGTTAGCACTGTCCCCCAGCTAATCACACGTTTAGCGCCGTCTTGGTGTGATGGCGGCATTATAGAGCGGGCTCTGGCTTCAAGCCTCGTCGGGATTGCAGGCCGCCCTACCCTGGCAATACCCTAATCCCAGGTAAACAAGTAAAACATTTTAGCGATTTACTGATGCCCTAACTAAAGCTTGTTTTCGTTCACATTGCGAGAATTTTATACTTACATTTGTAAAACGATTGACGAATGACTTCGGAAGGGCTCGCCGATTTCCACCTTGCGCTCGAGGATTCTGACACGCAAAGAAACGACAGCTGCTCTCGGATGGAATTTCGAAGCTACGGTTCAACTCTGCGATGTACAATACTCTTCGGTGGTCGAAACATGCATTCAGCCCTTCTAATACAGCTTGAGGTGCAAGATTCATCTTAAACAGAAACAACAGATTCTTGTCATTACAGAGCATGATTCAAGGGAAAGTAGACAATACCAACTTCATCGAGCAGTATCCATTCGCCACGTTTTATCGCTCGTAGAATTGGGCCATCCTCCCATCGAAAAGAAATGCTGCCATCATCACACACTATCGGTACATCGCTTCCGAATAGATCCGAAAGATCCTATAGAAGGGCGAATGATCACACGAGCACAAGTGAATTTTAGCAAGCGCTTACAGTTTGATCGGAAAGGTTCAATCTCGTGATGGCTTGCCCGGTGAGCTTAGCAAGAGCCATAACAGTGCTTGATTTCCCACATCCTGGAGCACCTTCCAGTAGAATTGGTTTTTTAATTAGTAGGCCCCTGAAATTGAGAGCAAATGATAAAAAGAAAATTCCAAACAAACTACAGTATTATTCTGCAAGCCTCAAAACTACGAACATTCGATGCTTAGGCACTGCTAAGACGCAAAAAGCGCTAGCTCACCTCGCAATTCGGTAAAAATTAGCGACAGAAGTCGGCGCACGGAGGCAAAAGCCTTTTGGTAACTCAGGTCGAAGAGATCCATACGGTAATGAGAAAGCTCCTATAGTTATGGAGCTCGCAGTGATTTGTATCTCTGATGGCGGAGGTCTCAAGGTGAACTCTCCAGAAGAAAGTTGTTGAAGCTGAAAACATGGTCGTAGAGACAAGGCGATTTCGAGGATCAATATTACGCCTGCTGCAACGACCAATTCAAAATGTGGGCACCGAAAAATAGCTAGTTTTTTTTGAGTTTGTGTCAGCACATATGAAATGTAAACGCGAAGGTAGCAACATATGCAAGAACTAATTAGCAATCTGAATTCTGGAACCTCGAGATTCCCTCGACTAATCGACCCTAGGAAAAAAACCACGATATTTTTCTTCAGCTGTTCGATTTTGTCATCGCTAGCCATCTGATTTATAGAGCTCAAGCGAAATTGTTTGCACAGCATCTTGTCTTGATCATTCTCCTTTGTGGAAAGCCACTGTCGGGAAGCCAATGTCATCTCATAGAACGCCAGTTGAGCAAAATTTTTCGCTAGTTTTGAACGTGGACAACTTTAATGGCATCGGCTCGATATATAATATTTTATTCAAGCACAAGTAATAGTGGATGATCATGGCCCCGTCTAAACATTTTCTTCTTATTCTAAAACGTTTCTGAACAGAGTTATGGCTTTCCATCTTAGTGCAACCCCGTCAATTTCAGGGATCTGGGGCCAATTTCTTCCATTACCGCCAGCAGCTCTTTTCCCGCATTCTAGAAAGTTTTTGAACACAGCTAAGAATTTTTCAAAAAGGATTTGACATTTGAATGCGCGCCCCGCCCATTATGGGCGGAGCCATGACATGTTTACGTAAGCTCAACATGCATAAGGCGTTGCTAGTATGGTCTGTTTTTCTGGCCTCCACTGTTCCGTTGAATCAGGTTATGATCACTGCGAGAAAGCCCCGCCTACCGCAGGTGACTCCTCAAGTTCACTTGCTGTCCCATCCCACACCTTCGCCAACTCTTCCCAACATTATGAAACCTGATTCAGGCATTTTGCTAAGGACACCGCCCACTCGCGTGAATGCGGGGCATGGGAGCACTTAGGTAGGTGGTAGGATAAGCCTCCGTGAGCGGGGGCGAAGCACGCGTTAAACGAGCGTAATCACTGTAAATGTGATAAGTCATCCTAAAAAAAAAGAGGGGAATGGAATTTACTTACATGAACACACATGGATAGAGCAGAACTTCACTCATGAAAGGCACTCTCGAATTGTGTCAGGTGTATGTGTTTTGCCAAAAACTTATATTTCCTGTTCTTCTTGCCAAGAATTCCAATGGGCGTAGGCGAAAGACATAGTACACGAAAATAAGGAGCGCCCGGCGTTAGCCGGGTGATCTGACTGGTACATGCATGCATGCATAAATTCATATATGCAGGGAATACGATATTATCAGATCATGCGGCTCTGGATTCTGATGGCCCCAGCTTCGCAAGTCTATTAGTAATTGGAGGTTTTGAAGACTAGAAGTAAATATGAAATTGAAATTACCAGGAGCTTCGCGTCACTGCGTATCGCATCAAGGTCAGTAGCTACGCGCAGTTGTTGACCATTAAGAGCGTCCAGAAACACGGCGGAAACTGCTTCGTAGATGGATTCATGTAGAGGTAATCCATTGGCTGCGCAGGCTGAGTATATTTCAGCACAAGCAACAACATCACGAACCGATGCAGACTGCCTAATTCGAAATAGTCAATTTTATCCTTACCAGTTCCCAAGTCTTTTGCTAACCTGAACATGTGCCTATATTTTTTGAAGAATTCCCTAATCCAATTGATAACTAATTCAGCCGGAGACACAGGAGAAGAAACATGACTCGGAATTACGCTTGCCAGTCTTGAGTTGAATATTGCAAGTAGTTCACTGCCTTCGTAATCGTTACTCGACCACAGCTCTGTGAATCGGTTTCGCAAGGCTTTCGATAGCTGAAACATAAAATGGAGTCCGAGAAGTTCGGCTGAACAGTCGAGCCAGAAAGAAACCTCTTTCTTGCCATAATCTCCTCCAGGATTCATAGTTGCGATTATTTGAAAACCTTCACGAGCGGAAACAGGATGGACTTCCACTCCCGCATCAGACAAAAGTAGTGTACGATCCTTAACAATCATAACAAATCGTAAAAGACGGAAACATCTGATTACTAAATTTTCTTGACAACAATCTCAACAAAACCGACCTCCTCAAAAAGTGGGTTCAGCCTTTCCAAGACAGAATCTTCTGCCAATGAAATTTCGTCGATTAAAAGAGGAGCTCCAGCTTTCATTGCATCAATTACAACACCGTCTGCCCAAGCGAACCTACAAATTGAACTCAGTGGCTCTAAAAGACTTGAAACTTGATGGTTTGTGTTGAATGCAGCGAAACCTACCCTCCGTTGTCTCTTGGACGTAACCTTCCCAAAAAATCTGCCGTCTCCGTTCTCTCATGACAGTTTATGGTCATTAACGAGTCTTTTCCAATGGCCTGAGCCAAACTTGTCTTACCACCACCAGTTTCTCCAACTATGAGCACCGCTTCGTTACGTAGCCATGCCTTAACGAAAACAAGATTACAGGAAACCGTAGAGACCATTTCATTTCTTGCTTCGAATTTTTTTTCAGCTCAAGTGGTCTCGAAAGAACGATAAATCTAACCTGCTCAGTCATAACTAGCATCCGTCTCATACCCAAGGTCATAACAATCCCACTGGCGTTGATATCTTTTGGCATATATGGTGAATTAATGGCGAACAATGCTGATGGCTAAAAGCAATAGCTGGACGAATATCAAGCACGAAAGGTGGCAATGAAGACCTAGTGGAGAGCAAAATAATACATCGATTTTTCTGTTTAACTCTGATTCGAGAGTCTCGACCACAGAAACAACGTCTTTTTGATTGCGACAGCGCCCAGCTAGCAAGAAGTACCCGTGATTTGCGAGCACCTGAAAAATGAGACATCAATTTGAAGAAGAAAATTCCACTTTTCGCGTTAAACGCAAAATTACCTGAAGCCAATCGTCACACGTTGCATCAGTTGCAAGTCGCTTTGCCCATCTAAACACATCGCGAAGTGTCATAAGACCTTAAATATTTCAAGAAGTATTTGGAAATGTACTCAGGTGAAGAAGCAGTAGTATTTCCTTTTGAACTATTTTATGTAGCATCACAGAGAATGTGATGGTATCAAATCACCTCAACAAACGCACAACGAACAGTGGCAACTACTTTCATTCCTGCTGATTCTCACTGGACCTTGTCTCTACCCTAAAGACCCTTAAGAAGCACCAATTCTCCACGTCAACACGAGTATTGGAAGTGATTTCAGAAACCTTTCCAGACTTCATTTCTCTCGAAAAGATCGCGCGATTTACTTGGGACTAATCAAATTCCTTCTCCTTACATATGAAGAATGAAAATGCGTGGTGGTGCACTCTTCCTAAAACTATTACTCGGCGCCCTTCATTGAGCTCCATATCCATTACGCAATCCCGCTCAAAATGGCATTTATGTGAGAAGGGCGAGCGTAGCGGTTTGTTTCGTTGTTGTAAATTTTCATTCATATAAACCAACCATCTCTTGCTGAAAACACCCCAGAAATAGACCGCTTGACGCGTAATTTTGAGAGCACGTTGATCATCTTGGATGCAGCAGATGCGTGCACTCCGCAACGTACGCAGACCTTAATTAATGAAGTTCTGTAGACAGCACTTATTTTGTTCATAATTTAGGCAGTTACCATTGATGAAAGTTCGTCTAAAGGAATGTTATTGAAGCGTAGCACAATAAATCGAGACATCAGAGCTCGGGAAAGCCGTTTTCGTCCACCATAAATTCCAGCAGGATTTTGTGTTGCAAACAATCGGAATCGTGGATGAGCTTTGATAACTACGTTCGTTTCTGGAACGTACAGCTCGCGATTGTCGTCTAGGAGCTGGAAACACAAATGACTGTATCGCACACTCAGCGGGAATGTTGAATAGCGTAAGAAGTTTGTCGAAATCAATGGAAATTGGTCTACATACTGACTATCCTACAGATTGCTTCGTTAAAAGATAATTAACAGTGTAGACTCCACAAAAAAGACTGCTATCCTACAAAGTCTATGAAAAGAAGGATATGGGGATCTTAAAGTCGACATTGAAAAGAATTACTGATATGTGCGAATGGCGAGATAAAAGTTAATGAGGAAGCTAACCCTATTCAGAGCCTCTATGATATCCGTTGGAGCGAGATTCAATTCATCCAAAATAACCCAGCTACCATCTCGTACCGCTTTCACCAAAGCACCTTCTTGAAATACCAGGCGGCCATTGGCATCACCCACATATGACCCCATGTACCTGTAATAAGCTTCTAGTGGAAATAAAAATGATCTGTGAATAAAAAAAAACCAAATACTCTTGCACATCAGTGTGTTCATGATTATTTATACGAATAATTGCATTGCCAGTGATTCGTCCAAGATGGCAAACGATGGAAGTCTTTCCTGAACTGGTTTCACCCTCCAATAGAATGGGGAACCTGAATAGAGCAAATACCAGAAATGGACTTCTAAGCGTTATTGACGCGGTACCTTCCACTGGAGGTGATACGCGCAATTTCAGCGAGATTTTGCTTGACGGTCTTCGTAACAACATAGTTTGTATCTTCTAGAGGGAGTTCTGTGCCACGCTCAATCCAATATCCCTCGACCTTCGAATAATCACATTCTCATACACTCTTCACTTTCGAAAACAGTAACTATCAAATTAGGAGAACACAGGCATAGGAAACGTGAAGAGGGATGCTGAAAAGCTTAGCATGCGAAGAACTTACAAAGACATAGTTTTCAGCCTTGTCATGAGGTGGCCGAATAGGAATGTTGGTCGCGACCCGAAATGTTTGAGAAATTTTTGCCCGCATTTTATCTTTAGCCTCTGCATCGAGGTTAGTGAGGAATGCCATACATATCTAAAAACATGATGTACTGGAAGAAAAGAATTTCAGTGCGTATAAATAAATTCTACAGACTTTCATCATCATTAAGATTATTTCTCGGTTGAAGATTTCTAACTCTCTGCGGCTAAGATATGCGGCACAACCTCAGTTGGTGGATGATTAGTGCTGACCAAAACTATCAGAACTGCCCCGACAAGCAAGAGGATTCAGGGAACAGCGTAAATGTCGGTGTATTTGGTCGCTTTATACCTTCTGCCTCTTCGCAGTCATTCCATTTGTGGGTGCGGTTGTCGTTCTGTATACCGGCTCAGACAAGATTGCGTTCGAGGCACTAGAAAGTATTCGGAGAGGCGGGAAGTTTGTAGGGGTGGGGTTGTACGGGGTTTACGAACATTGGTCTACTCGAGGCTCGAATTCTATATAGAAGGTCATCCAGAAATTTAACAACGTGCGCTCCCAATAGGAACAAACCAGAACATCAAAAAAGTCTTTCGCCAGTTATCGTTACACTTTTTGGCTACACTCTTTACCAGTAAGTCGGAATGCAAAGTACCGATTCCGTGGAAACTAGTAAGACTGTGTTGCTGTACAAGAATGAAGCGTGAACAATATTTGCAATTATCGCCCAATCTGCTTGCAGCCCATGGGCACACGAGTCATCCTTATCAGAATTTGAGAAGGAAAATTGATGAAGGACATCAAAAGAGGTCTCAAAGATTATTGAGTACGACCGATCATATTCATACAATTTTGGACTCTCTGAAGTGTTACGACAGAAGGAATGCTGACTGAATTTGTCAAGGTTTTAGGGATAAAATGCTTGCAGAAAGACCTAAAAAGACGACGCTTATGATGATCGGACTGGTTCCTGATCCTCCATGGTGTGGACATCACGAAATGCTCCAGCTATGTGTAAAGGAGTAAGAAAAACAACATGATGAAGAGTCTAGCTTGAACGTCGACAAAAAGAAACGAGAGAAACAGGAGCACTCAAGATAATCTAGGAAATAGTGAAGAAGACAAAGAACATGCAGCTTCGCGCCTATCATTTCGAGTCGACCCTTCGATTCTCTTCCTCTTCTTCCTTAACCCACACCTCAGATATTTGGACCTCACAAGGCAGATTGAACATGCAATTAGCCTCATCAAACGTGCTGTGGAAGGGCAATTCTCAGGGTTCCTTCATACACGCATGTCCAGGGGAAAATTCGGCGCTTCGAAATTTGACAATGGACGATGACAAGGGGGCTTTGTCGCAGACACTAAAGAATCGAAGACCAGATGGGTTGGAACGTCATACCATGTCGTGGTAATTCTTGGATCGGGAGGAGGAGGTCACTGACTACACTGCACTTTTCTTAATGTTGGCAAAATATCCTTTCAATGTGCAAAAATAACAAGCACTTCATCTAGAGGACGAATAATAACAGATTAAACAAAGAAATATGTGCAACAACTCACCGCTTCGTACATAGAGCGATCCTCACTTCCGAACATATTCTCAGCCGCAAACATGAGAGCACGGCATAGAGTACGTAGACTATAATGAAGCTACAACAATGCATTCAAAGTGAACAGAGGCTATTAAGGAACTTTACCTATAAATCATTGGATAAAGCTGTTTTGCTTGGAGATAGAAGTTTACCAGAGTATTCACAGCGGCCGATTTCATCGAAGGAAGATAAGCAGAAACGACTAGTCCTATTTGGTGAGCGTCGGTCATTTCTGGTACATAGAACTCAGTGAACCTGAAGTAATAAATCATTAGGATATCACTACTCAAAACTTTCATGACCATGATGGATAAACATTACTCAAAGTAATGGTTTGACCATCTAAAGAGCCTCTTATTGAAAGTTTTTTTTTGCCAGGCGATTAGCGGCATCAGCGATGCACCAACTAACGCCGTGCGGTTTTACTAAATCACGGATTACCGAGGCACTGTTTAGATAATTTCCAGGTACCTAGCTTAAATGGAATGAGGAAGGTACGATTCGGATAGTGCAAAGTTGGAGTAGAAAGGGCGAAAATGGGCGTATTTTACTCGAAGTGATAGAAACGGCGAAAATGGGCGTATTTTACTCGGAGTAAAGACCAAAAAATCGATAAATTAGGAGGTTGTACGGGATTATAGCGACAGAAGTGGCATTGCAGGGTATTTGGATGAGCTGTCGCTTTATGCGTTTGCGTGAAGAGCTGCCTGCTAACCCCTCCCCTGCGAGTTTATCGCAATTCATTCATGGGCACTATGACGCCGACGTCGGCATCATAACGTCAGAACTGTAAACGCGATATGACGCCGACGTTGGCTTTCAACGTCAATATGAAATCATGGACTATCATTTGATATTACATTGTTTGCTTATTGTGTGGTTGTACCTTGTTTCCAATGGAAATACGGTCAATTTAACACGATAAAAACCTAAACATATGTTTTTACACATGAAGCCATATGTAGCTCTCTGAAGGAAAAAAATGCTATATATAATTTATACTGTCGTTGTAAAGAACCAGAGCAACTTAAAGGATGTTTAACCCCTCTGATTTCATTCCGTTGACCCCTCTAAACCGTCAAACCGCCATTGGTGCGTCCTTCGCTCATCGGATAGAAGATATCGGCCGGTTGACTCACCTGGTTCGAACACTTGCAGGAAGTCTTCTTTTGCCAGCATCGGTTGCAGGATTCATGCACGCAAAAAGCCGAAAGTCCGGGTGAACGTCACCCAAAATGGCATGGACAATCGCATCGAGACTTTCTGCGGGAGCCAAATTAATCTAAAAACATATTTAATACCTACGATGAACAGTTTTTTGGGGATGTTTCATTGATAAAATAATATAGGGCGGCAAACCTCGTCAATGAGAAGCCAATGCCCTTCTTGCGCTGCTTCGAGCACAGCTCCTCGGCTCAGAGCAAAGAGAGCAGCACCATTTTCGAGACTTTCTCTTATTCGCCTTCCACGAACTATCACCGACGCCCATCGAGAATCCTATGGAAGCATTCCTTGAGAATGAATAAATCAAAATGACTAAAGACTAGAGAAATACCTTTTTCTTGGATTGCTTCAGAAGCGCTTTCTCAGCTGTCGCTATAGCCACCGACAGATAGTCCCGATACCGGCCCGACGATAAACAAGCCTTATAACAAAACATTAGAATTTCAAAAACTATCCAGGAAATTGAAAATCATTATTAGCCACCTCTAGATGTGATAAAAACTTCTGATTTTTTGTGGTGTCAAAAGTGCTGCGGAAGACTTCGTAGTAGAATTGCGTGAAAGGTGTGAGAACGTGAGAAATCGAAGTCGGCTTGTACCTGAAATAGTTTCAAAAAAACAATGCTAAACAAATCGATACTGAAGAAGAACTCGAATGAAAGCTCTTGCTTTACTGGTTACTAGTAGGATAAAAGATAAATCATGAACTGTTGCAATCAGACAAGGAACGTACCCATTTATGAGTTCGTCGAAGTCGGATGAGGGGCTCAGATTCACAACTTTCAGGACGGCATTTACCGCTGACCCCAGACTTTGCACTACGGACGTTTTTCCAACACCAGTCTCTCCAACCAGAAGTACTGGTTCACGGTTCTTAACGCATACGGCGAGGCGCTCCATGAGTTGTAACACATCTCTTGAAAAAATTTTCGTTATTTTAGATTGTAGGCAAAATGTTTCGGAAAATCACCGTGTATGCCCTAGACGGTGACCGCGCGCACTATGAAGAGTAGGAGAACTTGGCAGGCGACATCTTCCCACGGTGCACCATCGATCATCACGTGAAAAAGTTGGCTGTCGAAGAGAGAGGTGAAACGACACTTGATCTCCAGTAATTGACAGTGGAGCAGCAACCTATATCAGAACTCTTCCTTGTTTGGAAAATGACCTTTTTTNTTTTTTCTCGAAAGCTTCAGAAATAAGATAATTCCAGCAGCATGAAGAATTTTGAAAAGAAAGTCCAAACATGAGGGGAGCTGAGGGATGCCAATTTGAGAAGTTTCTCGTAAAATTTCTTCATTGTCTAAGGATAACTACTGCGGTTACCAGAGTCAGGCTTTTGATGACCGTCTAGCCACAGACACTCTCCCTCTTCGTCTAAATCGCTGAAAGAAATGATCCTAGGCGAGATAAGTTACTTGTGGGAAGTATTACTAACTTTTGCTGCGGCACTCATCAGTAACCGTGTTAAGCATATTCTATTACTCATTGCTTTGAAGAAAGCAACGATAATTTTGTTACCATTGTGCGGTATCTCGCAAACTACCATGAGCTTAAGAGATTCTCGATGTCGCACCTATATTTACAACTGTGTACTCCAGGTAATCTTTTTTCAAAGTTGAAAATCGTAAGGCGATGTTGGGGTGATGAAGTCATGTATGATTAGTTTTTCTGATAGCTTTAACTTGCTATAACCGTCGAATCTAGAGAAGCTAATACCTTTTCACATAATTTCAGGGCTCTTTCGGGAACATCAGCAAGACACCAGACGTCAACCAACTCCGTAAATATAGCTATATTTGACGAGAGATCACTAAGTTGGTTAACGCGAGCACATCCTCGGAGTAAATCACTGAAAAACCAACTTTCAAAACAGTTTGACTCATCTCTCAACACAATACCAAGAATAAACAGTTCGAAAGTGGACCAACTGCAGTGTTTGGAGCTATTTTACACTTAGTCCAGTGAGAAAAACACGGCAACTGTTAACTATGTTTTGATGAGCACCAAGGTAAGGAGAAAAGGCATCACGAATTGGTTGGTTCTCAAGTTATTCAGCCACGCGGGAGGTTTTAAAGAGCATTCACTAATTTTTCTGAGCTCGTCCCTTTTCTGTTTGTACATAAAGGACCGGCTTGTTTGCTATCTAGCAGAATGAAATAGCGGAACCACTGCCCTTTACATTCCTTCAGACCAAAAATGGACAGGTGTAGATTGAGAAACCTTTAAATTATTGTAAAATCGTGAAAGACGCATACCCATTTTTCTGCTCATCAAAAAGCATAAGAATCCGAGAGGGATCATGAGTTATTGCATAAGGAACAATAATTATGAACAAGTAAGGATCAAGTTGAACTTACGTTGAAGTTAGCTGTCGGGAGTTCGACGTTGAATGGACATTTTCTAATGATCGAAAAATGGAAATTAATGTCTTTGCTAAATGCGATATCCGTGGCCATGCCTGAAGAAAATCACATCCATTGGGGAACAACTGAATATATGGTGCAAGCGATGGCCCAAATGTGTAAAACAACCTTTGTGACAATACGCCTTAGTTCTTCATCCGACAGTTGATCAAGAATGACTCGTACGGGAATCCCATCAAGTAGGCTGCTTTTCTTCCCTTTTCCACTGAATATTAGATCACTTAATTGTTTTACGAGGAATATTCGTATTCTGAATCCTTGATATATAAGCATTTCAATCACAACAGATGATTGTTTATCTAGTTCGATGATAGCTTTTCTAGATAATGATATGAAATGAATGGAATTCAAGTTCAAGTACGGTGAACAACAGAAATCCGATGAAAACTATGAGCCTATAAACTCGATTATAAATAAAGACTTTCATCACTGACTCGCTTGTTCTTCTTTATATCGTTCATCTACACGACTTTTTTTATTTCCAACCACTCACAATGAGGTTTTCTAGGTGGCAAACCACCATCGCACGAATCTCAAACAAACCTCATCGTTGCAACAATGCGAACTTCTTCATTGAGTGAGAGTTCCGTTCCACAAGGAAGCACTGCTGACCTCCGGGAGGCCAGTTGAATAATTGTGGAGATAACATCAGCATTTGATAAGTCGATCTCTTCTAGCAATATTATACATCGCTCTTGAAGCCACTTGAAAGGAATGCAATGAAGCAGGACCATGTTCCTTTCAAGGCTTCACGAGACAATAACTAACCTCGCTAAAACTAGACGATTTCCACAAAATCTGTCCTGCTACCTCAGTATAGTGGTAAGATCCAAACAAGCTCTGAAATTATCATTAACAAAGTGTGACACTTGCGAATAAGCGATTAGCTTCAAGTTGCCCTCCTCAAGAAATCTCACGATTGCAAGCTAAAGCCCAGAGGGCAACTATAAAATGGCTTTTGGGCATAAAGCAGACGCAGTTAGCGACCAAGCAGCTACCTCGTGCGTATGTAAGCAAACGGATTGTAACATACAGTAGCGCTCAAAAGTCTTCGGTGAAATGCTTTGACGCTTTTTCGTTCAAAACTTTTTTCGTAGTAGACCAAATCGCGCAAAATTTCGATATGTTTAACTAGAGCATATTCCACTTTACATAACACTGTTTGACTGCGAAGCTGCAACATCCACAGATAGAGCAAGGTGTTTGTTGCGGTAGCAGATTTGGCTAAAACTAAAGTTGTTGACGTCTACACTTACTCGCACCTTATGTGCGTTTTTCTAATCTACTATGTTCGGCATTAGCGCTCGTACACTTTGGAAATGACGAAAAGGAAAGAATTCCTAGGAGGACCAATGTTTGTATC